ATATATATTTTTATATATACATATAAATATTATATTTTTTATATTTATATATTAAATATTTTTAAAAAAATATATTAATGTAAAAAATCATTATATCTTTGTTAGAAATTAAAAAAAATGCAAAAGAATTACTTTTTTCTAACTTAAATGTTTTTAAATCAAAGATTAATTTATAATTTAAAAATCAATTAGAACAAAAAAGTTATAATAATTTGAAATTTAAACAAAATAAATTAATTATTATTTTTATACTCTTTTATTAAATCGGTGCTTTTGTTCTTATTAAATTTTATTTTTAATTTTATTCAATAAATCTTATGTTAATTATTGTTAATAGCATTGTTTCTATTGTAATTCTTTTGTTTAAAACATAAACATTTAATTAAATTATTATAGTTTTGATAATTTAAACATCTGTTTATGATGTATTAATTATATTGGTTATTAGATAATTGAAATATACTTTTAAAGAAACAGATTATTAAGAAGTTTACATTTAATTTTTTTCATATTGGTTTTATATATATTAGATTTTTCAATTACCAATATTTTATTTATGGTTTTTGAGAACTTTAAAAATAATAACTCCTTTAACTGTATATATGCTTATATATTTAGAAAGTTTAGATTGGTTTTTTAATTTTACTTTTTTTTTTAAATATTATGGATTTTTGTACTATGTTTTATATGCGAAAAAAACGAAAAAATTCTTTTCCATAAAAGCTTTGTTAAAAAATAAAAATTAACTGAATTTAAAAAAATAATCTAGGAATATAGTTAGAATGAAGAAATAATAATTTCTAAGGATTACTTTTTAGAAAAAAAACAAAGTACTAGTAACATAGAAAAAATTCTAGCTATTTCAAATAGTAAAAAAATGCTTCAAATTGATATTTAGAATTAAAATACGCCTTAAATTAAATGTTAAGATATTTATAAAGATTCAAATATTAATATTAATAATCATAATGAAATTAAAATGGATCATTAAATGTTAATCCCTTTTATAAGCAAAAAATTTATTCAATAATATAGTGATGATAAATAAAGCATTCTAAATTAACTGAAAAATATTTATACAAATGGTAATGAATATAATCTATATTCAATTATAATAAAAATACTTTTTTAGATAAACATTTAAGACTAAGGGATAACCTTATAATAGCTTGATTCATTTATTAATTCTAATTAAATAATAGAAGATCAGGATAAAAGAACATATTAATTCGTTGAGTGTTACGACCGAAAATAATAAAAACATTATGATGTAAAAATAGTTATGATTATATTTGAAAAAAATAGTCTATTTTAATAACATTAAATGATGTAAGTAATTTAATAATAAATAAAAGAATGAAAAATACATAAAAAGAAATAGAAATTACTCTTGCTTAAGTTGCTCATGATATAAGGACTCCATTATAGTTTATACAATAAATATCAAAATAATGTTCAAATTAAATTACCGATGAATATATAATGCAATAATTATAAAATATTGATACTAATTGTTAGCTTTTAATGAGTTTGTTAAACGATATTTTAGACAGTTAGAAAATGAAATAAAATAAATTCAATTTAGTACTTGTAAATTTTTCACTAAATTAAACCTTAAAAGAATTATAAGAATTATTTAAAATATAATTAAAAGAAAAAAATATTCAATTTAAAATTGAAATTGATGGTGAAATAGATTTTTATTCTGATTAAAATCGGTTAAAATAAATTCTAATTAATTTTATATCAAATTCTATTAAATTTACTTAAAATGGATATATTTAAATAACTGTTATTTAATTAAAAAATTATTTAGTAAAATTAAAAATATAAGACAATGGATGTGGTATTCCTTTAGAGTTATAACCCAAACTTTTTAAAGAATTTAGCACATTTGATTATGGTAATGGTTACAACAAATATGGTAATAAATTATAAAGATATATATTTTTATATTTTTTCTCTAATAAAATTTTAAAAGTATATTATGTAAACTATAATTTTTATTTAAAAAAAAATAGGAGTAGGTTTAGGTTTAGCATTATGTTAAAAATTAGTTAACTAGCTTGGTCCAAATTAATAAATAAATTTAGAATCAGATGGTATAAGTGGAACTTAATTTAGTTTTTATTTTTACCAAAATCTTGATAATAGGTAAATTGAAATAAACCCGTATATAACTGAATTTTCAAACAGTTAAAAATATTATAAAGACGATGAATTTTTGAGAAAAGAAAACGTATTACATTAAGAATCAAATAATATTTAAAATTCAATTTAATCATATTAATTTAAGATAAATCGTTCTTAGTTTTAAGTTAGTAGAAATAGTATAATCTAAAAAAATTTTTAGCTTTAGAAAAGCCTGACATAAAACTTTGTATAATAGTATTAATCTATTTATAATTAATATAAATTATTTTATTAGCGTTTTAATAATATACTTATTGTGGATGATAATATATTTAATTAATTAATAATTAAAAAAATGTTTGAATAATTTGAAGGTGATTTAATATGTGCTAATAATGGTTAAGAAGCTTTTAGTATCTATAAATAAAAATAATTTTAATTAATTATAATGGATGTTTAAATGCCAATAATAAATGGATTTGAATGTACTAAATATATAAGAAATTTCGAAAAAGAAAATAACATTTAAAAATCAATAATAATAATAGCTACTGCTTTTGTAAGTGAAGAAGAAGAAAATGAAGCAGCTAAATCTGGGGCAGATTTTATAATGCTAAAGCCTTTAGATTTTAATGGCATGTATAAAAAACTAGAAGGGCTTATTAACATTATATGATAGAATCTATTTATAATACAAATATAAAAATAATTTTAAAATAATAAAAAGTAATATTTATTTATAAATATTATATAAAATACATTATTTATATTTTTTTCATCTACATTAAATAATTTGATCTACATTCATTTTGTAGACATTTAGACAATAAATCCAAGCTGGATTGATTATTTATTACATAAAAAAATGCTTTCATGTTTATAAAAATTATTATATATGATTTTCCAATTATTTATTAATACTTTACTTTTTTAAATTTCTGTTATTAATTTATTAAATCATATTATCTAATTAAATGTCCTATACAAATTTATTTTATTCTTCTTAATAAAGATATTAATTGTTTTCATCTTAATTTTCGAAATTAAATACATTATGTCCTACTTTTTTATTTACAAAATTAAAATTTTTTAAATTTAAATTTTTTATTTATGAGTTTTATAGATTTCCTACATTATCTTTAACAAACTCTTATTCTTCAAAAATTATTTAATTTAACTATTTATCTACTTAATTAACACTTTAGTTATATTAATCATTAAAATCAAAATATACTTTTCCCAATTATTATAAATCATATTTTGCAAAGCCTGGGTTTACAAGATGATTTTCCGCAATAGATAATTCAGACTATTCTGATTTTTTTTTTTGATTTTCTTTCATTTACATTTTTAAATAAATTTCTCTTCTTCTCATTTCATCAATAAATATAGTTTAATTAATATCCGATTACACGTTTTTAACTTTTTCTTCGTATTTATCTTTTTCTTCTTAAATTTTTAATATATAGCCTTTCATATTGAGCATTTCTTAAGAAATAAATGTTTACTAATTCTAAAATTCTGATTTTAAAGAATTTAGTTCGTTATTAAGTATTTCAGACAGCTATTCTTTTAAAAAAATAGGAATTTCTTTAATAATTAATTAATTAATATATTGTGTATTTTAATTTTCTTATTAAATATTTTTTTGATTTTTTTCTTAATCTTTAATTGTTGTTTTATTTAGGTTTTTTTACTTTCTTAAAGTTAATAAAACTATTATATTTTATTATTTTGTAAATTATATAAACGATTATTTTCTTGTTCCATTTTCAATTCTAAAAATCTTCTTTCTTTTTCTATTCTAGTATTTTCTATATCTTAGAGCATTTTTTCGTGCTATAGTTCAAATTGTTTTTTCTTCTTTTTTCTTTTATTTGTTATAATTAATCATTTTATAATTAAATATATAATTATCTTTTTTATGAAGGATTTTTTTCTGATAAAAATTAATGTATTTACATACTACCTGAAGTGTTTTAATTTTAAAAAGTTGTAAGAATGTTTGTTTTAATATTTTATATACTTTATTATTTATCAGGAGTGGAAATATAATCATAATTTTTAATATTAGTTGTTAAAAAAGGATAATGCTCAGAAATTTCTAAACTTGTAAGTTGATTTAGTTCTTCCTTATTATGAAGAGTTTAAGTACTTCTTTCATGTCTACACATTATTTTAGGGGTTAGTAGTCCAATATTTTCATATTCAGCATTTCCTTCTTATCCTTTTTTTAATTATTTTTCTTGTTTTTACGTTTAGTAATTTTTTAATAAATTGTCTTATTAATTTTTTTTTTTTCATTTTATTATATAGGTAAATAAGAAAACAAATCTATTTGTTCAAAGTTTTTGCTACTTGATTTTGTTTGCGATTGTTTTGCATTTTCTAAGAAATATTTTTAAGGTAATTCATTATTTAAAGAGAAATTTGACTGATTTTTTAAATAATAATTTTCATAGCCATCTTATTTTTTTAATTTTCTATTGCTTATTTAAAATCTTATTAAATTTAAAGTGTTTCAGTATAATCTTGTTTATTTTTTTGTACTTATATACCTCCTCTTCTAGAATATCCGTATAAGTTTTAATATTTTTTAAAATTTAAGAATTATTTTAATTGTTTATATTGCCATAGTTAGGAAAAAAACAAAGTTATTGATTATGATTATTAATTTAAGAAAAGCTATTATTTAGTGGATTTTATTAAAAATACATATTAAAGTTATTAAAATTTACAATATTTAATTTATGATAAAAATTATAAAGTTTTTTATTTTTTGATAAATAATAGATTAATTTATTTTAAATATTAAGCATAAGGAATTTTAATTTAATCCAATAATAATTGTTATTTTATCAGCGAAAAAAAATATATTGTAATAGTATAATAGTAAGAGGGTAAAATGTGTGCAAATGATCGAAAACAAAGTGAATTTGAACTTTGAAAAAAACTATTTTTTTATATAAAAATATTTTATTATAAATAATACTTAACATCAGTAAATTTTTAAATTACATTAAAAATATAACAGATATCAAAATATATAATTTATAAGTCTGTGATCAAAACGGTTTTCGCGCGCACATAAAATTTTTAATAAATTTTAAAATAAGATTTTTTATATTGAAATATTTTTTATTTTAATTTTTTTTAAAAATTAAACAAAAAAAACATTATAATAGTTGGTAAATTATATTCAAAAAAAAAACATAAGTCTGTAAAATTAGAAAAGATTTTATAAATGTAAAATGATAAAAAAATAACTAATATTTAAATTTCAATAATAAATAATAAAAAATATTTATATAAATAATATAATAAAAATTTTTAATAAATATGAACAAAAAAAAATAATATGAAGATTTTAAAATCAATTTACAAAGAAATATTTTTTGCTTAAAAATGTATATACAAAAAATATTGTAAAAGCTTATAAAAAAAAATATATTTAATTTTTAAATTTATTTATTATAAAAAAATTAATATTATTAAAAATAATAATTTTAATTTAATTGTTTTTAATTTATTTTAATATAACATTATAGATTTTAATTTATATATATATATATATATTTATATATATATATATATATATATATTTAAATCATTTAAATATATATTCATATTTTATTTATATTTTTTTTTTTTTTTTTATTTATTTTTATGATTTATTTTATAATTAAAATTTAATTTGAAAAATATTTAAAAAAATAATCTTACTTTATTTTTTTTTTCATAATATTTTTTATAATAAGTTCTTTTTTAAGCAAAATTTAAATTTTATTTTTTATAATAAATTGATTAAAAAGTATATATAATTACTTAATTATTACATATTTTAATATTTTTATATTATTTTTTTTTTAAAATACATATATTTATTATATTTTTATTTTTTATATAGTATTTAATAATATGTATATTTCTATTTATTATAAAAAATAATTATTTAATTTTTTCACACAAATAAATTATTAATATTAAAATTTTACCATTTTATATAAGCAAATTATAATTTTTAATAAAATTTAATTAAATTTACAATTTAATATTTTTTTAAGAAAAATTTATAATAATAATTTTTATTCTTTTTCTTCTTATCTTTTAAGTTAAAAACAAAAATATTTTAAATTACAAAAAGTTTAACAAGAAAATTATAACAATTTTTATGTCTAAAATTTATAAAATAATAATAATTTAACTCATATATATATAAAATGTGTATTTAGTTGTAAAAATTATATTATTAGTGTTTAAAATTTTCTATTAAATAGATATTTTTAATACAAAGAAAAAGATTATAAAATATTGAAATAATTTATGTATTAAAAACTATTTAATTTATCATATAAAAAAAACAATAGAATTCAAAAAAAATAGAAATTTAATTAAAAATAACCATTAAAAATAAAAATTTAACAAATAAAAATTCTTAGTTAATAGAAAATAAATTATCAAAAAAATCATTATTATTAATCGAAAAAAAACTAATTAAAATCAGTTTAATCTTGATATTTTTAAAAAAGTTTTGTGATCGGCATACATTATTAATTTATCCTACTCTAATTATTAAAAATAATATTTCTTATGCCTTTTATTATGTATTTACCTTCAACTATAATGATAAATGATTGAACATTCAGTTAATTTACGATGAGCATATTATTTTAAATAATTTCGTTTATTAATTATAATTTTATATATAGATTTTTTTCGACAATATATAAATCTCATAAACTAATTGAATATGCTAAAAAAAATAAAATAAAATAGAAAATGTATAATAATCTTAAAAAATAAAAATAAAACATAATTTTGTTAATTTGATTTTTTCATAAAATCAAACATTTAATAATAAAACACTTATATTTAATAAATATTCGAATAATAAATAAATAATATTTTAAATAAAAATAATATTAAAAAAAAAGTGCAATAAAAATAATATTTAATAAAATAAAAATAATTTTGTTATAAAAATATTGTATAAAAAATTAAGAACTGTTTTCAATTTATTAAGTTTAGAAAATATCTATGTTTATATAATAATAATTATGTATTTATTTATTAAAAATAATCATATAAATCAAATATTTATTTTAATAAAGAAATTATATATCAAAAATATAAGAAATATGATTAAGAAATGTTTGCATTAAAATATTAAAATAATAATCGCGTTTGATAGTATATGATTAAGTATAAATAGAGAATATAGATAGATTTTATTTTTCGTTTTTTTTTAAAAAAAAAAATGGAGTAGAAAAAAAAAAATCCTAATTATATTCTGATAGATTGAACAAGTCGACAGAATATCAGTAATTATTAGTTGATCAAAAGATGAGAGATACAACTTTCTATAAAATTACTTTATTTTATATATAATTTAATATTATTTTATAATAATTTTTTTTTAAACATGCTTTTTTATATATATAAAAATTTTTCATTTTTTATATATATGTTGATTATATTTTATATATAAATTTTCTGATTTATTAAGGGCATTATATTTTTATATTTATAAATATATATATATTTTTTTTTAAAATAATTTTTTCTTATTTTCATTAATATATTTTTTTAATTTTAATTTTTTATATATTTTTGGAGGGTGAGGTTGGGGTTGGGGGTGAAATTGGGGGTTGGT